TTATTAAAAACTGGATCATTGGATAATGCAATTCAAGACTTTTTATTGGCTTAGCCATTATGGTATATCAGCCAATATACCATAATCTACAAATATGGTAAGCGTACGCGTCAGCTTAAAATCAAAAGGGAGCTAAAAAATCCAGTTTCTTCTTACAAAATAATAATTTCTTGGGGGCGTTTTTAATAAAACAATTATTCCACTCGCGCTTGTTGGATATGAGATGATTATAGCCAACTCGGCGCTATGCGCCTCGTTGGCTATCCATCATCTCATATCCAACGCGCGCTCGTGGAATAATTGTTAATTATTATTATTATTATTATTATTATTATTAAAAGCAATCCAGCTTAACCGTTCTGTACAAAGTTAACTAAGGGTTATGGCATCGGTAGTAATTAGAGATCACTTTTATAAATTGACAAACGATTCCCACAGTGAACAAAAAAAATTTCTTTCAAAACTGTTAGTCATTTTAGAGACCAATAAATGACCACTAGACTACATTTCAAATATTTTTGTGCACAAATGTATTTTCAAACATTAATGATTATTGTCATAGGATCAGAGTTCAAAGGGGACTAGAATGTTGCATTGTAAGATCGTTTGGTTTCAGCAGCAACCAAGTTAAGATGAGGTTTGTTCGCCAAAGTCTAATAATCCAGTACATGGAGATGAAGATCCTCTCCCAAAGAAAGAGGGCGCCCACGTATTTTGATTTTAATATGAATTTACACAAAATGGTACAATTTCATATGAACCTAACATAGTCAATAGACTCTGTGTAAAATCGATACATTAATTTTGCTTTTAGTGCAGGAAAATGAAGTATCTGAGTCCCCGAAATTCAAAGTCATTGCAGTTTGCAAGAAACATCCGATCTGTGTTAAAATTTTGAAACGGAGTCCTCTCATTGTGCTTGCAATCGTGCAAGTAACCATTTGTTTAGAATTTAAGCAGACTAATCGGGCATGACGTCCGTTGTAGTTTTTCAATTGTGCTTGGAACAGTTTTGTCACATTATCTGTTCATGTTTAGGTACACACATCTGCTTTTGTGTTCACTGAGTTGCACCTTTAAAATTTCATTATTGATAATGTCCACATGAAAAGCACAGAACCAATTGCCTGACTGAAACTCAAGTAATTTGATTTGGTTTGTTTTCGGTTGACTGTTTTGTAGCCCCAAAAGCCATTCAAACCTCTAAAGCTACTAAAGTTGAAAAAAAATTGATACAAAAGGCTTTTAATAATAGGAAAGAAAGGATTGTTCTTCAAGTATAATTGCACTCACAGTAACAATGAAATAATTTATCGTAATTTTGTGCCGGCATTAAACCAACTTTAGTTGTCAAAGGTGTATATATGTGAATTCATTACACAATATAGTAATAAATGTGAGGTTTAGAGTGCTCTCTCCAGGGTGAACAATGGTAAGGGGGAAGCAAACTCCTCTTATGATTAACTGGACTCTGTAAATAAGTTACTTGCTCTTTTCTTTTTTCTTTTTTTTTTAAATTCCTCATTCATATCCTTGGGTGTGCCAGCCAAGGATTCGTCCCAATCAAGATTTAATTATGCCATATGTGAGCACTTTTTTAAGTGCCATCGTTAATTGTTTGGCATTGTGTGTTTGACATTTAAATGGCATTTTAAAATTCCTATCCATCCTCTTAGCTTAAGTCTGATGACTGCATAGTTTGTTGAGATAATTAAAATGTTAGTCTATTTACGCGACTGCACTTTCCTTTATATTGTGCCCTGTACAGTCATGTAGTGTGAGAGAACTAAAATATTGTGAGCACAGAGGCACCTGTAGGGAAATTACTGAACTGCGGGCTGAAGGTAGAAAGCCGATAGTGATTCGTCAGTGATTTGCGTCGCAGTTGATTCACAGCAAAACAGTTCCCCATATGTGCGCGCTTGTGACTTTCGACTTTTAGTTGTAATGACCAGCCAGGGGAAGCTTTACACAAACTACTGCAGTAAACATCCTTTCTTAAAAGCTAAATTTCTTGTATACAGGTACGGTCATATATAGACTCATTATAGATGCCCCGCGGCATTCAGACATTTTTGATGAGTTTCCGCTAAAAGATACTTTCAAACTTCTTAAGAATAACAGATGTTTGTTTAGAGATGTAAAGCGATTCCAATAATATTATTTTGTTTTTTATTTAGTGAAAGGGTTTCCTGAGCTTTTAAGCTTAAGACACGATTTCAATGGCAGAATGTCCAAAATAATTACTTAATCACACATCGCTCAAGATTTTGAAACTTGCCAATATGCTTTTTATATCTTCGTTGGCATGGAGTCATACATAATAAATGAGGCATGAAACTTATGGAATTAAACTGGTTAATGAAAGCTGGAATACTAAACAGAATGAAAACGATAAGTTGAGGAAAGAAGGCTTGTTTGTGCCCGTTTATTTGGCCACACGAAAAACAAAATACTCGTAAAATGATTATGTGATGCTCATGCGTGACTTTTGTTCATAACAAAACACTCTAAATTTAAATATTTGAGGTTACGTGAACAATGTTCGGGTTTCCTTTTCTAGAATATTCTTTTGTAGATGGAAGTTTGGAATAAGGGAAATAATAAATTTCATTGATTAAAAAGGAACTTGATATCTTTCTAACTGTCCTTTTAAGAGGGGAAATTCCCAGGTGTCCTAAATACGATACATCGACACACTATAAAACGAAATTCAAACTGATAAGATGCTTACACAATCTCTATAGTTTAAACTGATGTTTGCCCAGACACAAACAACACCATTTTTGACAAGCTAGGAGAATGTTTGTGGTGAACTATTAATTCGACGTAAACTACATTCCTTGCGATGAGAATGGAGCCATAAGATTGTTATTCAAGGCTCGCCCTGGCCGCACAAAACATAAGGGACTTCAGTTAATTTCAATATTACTCCACCTCTGCTTTACAAGGGGAATAGGTGTTTCATGAATAGATGTAAATTTTTCACCCCAAAAAAAAATGTAAGTTTCAATCGATAGTAGTATGATATAGTTTGATACCTTAACCGTCCATGCTGAATGAGTTTATTTCTAAGTTTTGAAATATTTTTTCAATGTATGTAATTAAAAGAAAAGGTCAAACATTAATCCTCGTCGATTAGCAAAACTGTCGCGAGCTACGTTTCTTGAAAGCAAAACTAAGAATTTCCATATTCCTGTCTATCAGCGTGATGATTATGGTTTTAGTAGATGTCATGTGACCATCAATTGCAACTTGATATTCATCAACGAACCACGTTTAAATGTCACGATGTGGTAAACCACCAGAGGTCGGCGTATATAAAACACCTTTTCCCACCATTTCTTGGCGTTGTCCTTTATCGATCTGTGATCGTGAGTCTCTTATTTTCAATTTTGAACCGGACTCTATTAGCTTTAAACCGCACACGAATCCACTGTTTGTTACAGCTCTCCCAAAATCGATCGATAGCAAGACGGTTTATCGTTTTTACAAAATTAGTTGAAAGTTTTCAAATTTCTCACAAGTTTACAAAGACAATAAACGACAGCTTCTTGACTAACAGGAAACGCAAGTAATGATGAGCTATTTCGTAATTATTTCACTAACATTTACAAGTCTGTTCGACTACTTAGGGGAAACTGATCAGTGCGGTTCTCGACTGTGTCCTGCGCTAGTTTAGGAAATAAGTTATAAGCGATATGTCGAACTTTCCCTCGAAGATCTCGTTTCCTTAAAGTGTACGCAAGTGGGTTGAATATCGATGTACAAAGCCTTAGGTAGTAGATGGTGAAAACAACCATATGAGGTACATTATTATTATGGCTCTGTTGTAAGATCTCCAATATGAAATACGGCAGCCAGAAAATGACGTACAACGCGAGAAGGAGAACACAAGTTAACACAGCTCTCTGGCGCTTTTCTTGAAGCTTCCTCTCGCGTTTCACAAACTCTGTCGGCAAATTCTCCCGCGCAATTCTCTGACACTGACTTCTAAGCAGCAACAGCATATGGGTATCAAGAACAACCATGATAATGAGTGGGATCAGAAAAAATACGATGACGTTAAACAAAAACAGTATAGTCTCCTTTTGGCGATCACGTTCCAGGTCCTCAGGGGCTGTTTCTATTTTGATGTTCCAAGTCCATGAAAGTCGAACCAAAGAGATGAGGCTGAGAAACCACGTAATGCCGAGGACGATCATAACTCTTTTGCGATGGACGATGTCACGGTAACGTAGCGCCCAGATGATGTAGATGTAACGATCGCAGGTCATCGCGGTGATGTGGAGTACGGTGGAGAAGGCCATAAATGAGAAAAATGTATAAGAGCTGACACAAATGGGAGATATTATAGTGGAGGTGCATGCCACGAGGAGTGGAATCCCAACCAGACCTACCAAGAAGTCTGATACGGCTAAACTGGCTAAGATGATGTTGCTTGCCGTTTGTAAGACCGAATATGAAGCTATGAGAAATATAACACCGCCATTAATAAACAAAATAAACACCATGAAAACTAAGGCAGGAACTGTTTGAAGCGAAAAACCAACGGTGTCATTATCTGTAGAATTTGTCGACATCGTAGACATTTCTCCCGTGTTTCTGATCGTTTACGAAATCGCCTGCGCGGTGAAGATTTTATCACTGTGAAGAATACTCCTTTCTCTACAAATAGAGCCTGTTTGGTTTTCTATTACAGGCGTATATCAATTCAAGTAAAACTGAGAGCTCTCTTGGGCCTTTGATTCGAGAGGATGGTTTGTCAAAGGCACTCTTCTCTTAGACGTCTGTCGCGATTGTATCTGTGAACAAATAAGATACAAAAAATGCAGTCAGCTCTCTATTCTTTCAATCTGATGAAGGAAAAATAAAAAAAAAGGTCTGCAATGTTGCCTTTCCAAAATATGTGGTAGTTCAGCTGTCTTTGTGGGCCTGATGTAATTTGCATGATAAGTAGTCTCCTTCGCAGCCGTTGTTTGGGCTTGTCACGCAACGCTCCCTGCCCCACCAAGTGGTGGGGGAGGGAACGTTGAGTGACAAGCCCAAACAACGGCTGCGAAGCAGACCACATGATAAGTATCTATCCAATAAGATTTGATCTCCTCTGCAGAACCAGAATTTCAAAAAAAACATATTTTTTAATGATAAAAACATAATGATCATATGAAACAATTCAGTTATATCAAAGATTTATATTTGTTAATCATCTAGTGGAATAAAATGCTTGCCGAGAACTATGTCGTCCTCTTTCTCCTTTTATTACTTGCAAATGGCTGTTTAACCCAATTTTTTTTTTAAATCAACATTTGCAGATGATTAGTTGGACATAAATAATTTCTTTTCCTTTCAAAAATCCCAAGTATTGTTCCGATGCAGTTGTGTAGACATGTAATGTGTGTTTAATTAGTTCAGAAAATATCCGATAAGTTAATAGCTGAGTTGCGCAAACCGCAATTTAACCTGCTCACTAATCTTTTTTACTCTTAAAAATCTCCACAGATTCGGTATATTTTGGGTTTAATGTGTTTTTTACTGGACACGCGACTCTTGACCGGTGTATGACAAATAAAGCTCCTTTAGATCATTGGGAAAAGATGCCTTTCCGGGCTAAAGGTTTCGCATCGATCTGCAGTGTTTACCTCAGTTAAGTTTCTTTTCTTTAACCTCGAAACAAAGAAGACAGTTCTTTCATTTCTCAGGTAACGTTAATATGTTGAGTAAATTTCCGTGATATTTATTTAAGCTACAAACACGAAATTGGGCCAATTTGCGATCTCAATTATCGCAAAGATATATATAATCTTATTTTGTACCTCTTTTATGAATGGAAGAAATCCGCCCGTGCACGAATGTGGCTCAAAGAAAAAAAAAACAGATTTTATCCTAAGCCAATCCCAATTACTGAGCTGCAAGCATGATAAAACCACCGGATTCGTAGATGGACATACTTTTGCTAAGAACGACATAAATTCGATGCAAAGAAAGATAAAACATATTGCGGGGTAAAAGAATCATAACATTTAGTGATCATAGCCAAACAAATGCCTTTAAGCCAGGATGAAATATCAAGATCTTTCCGAAGAGTGTTTTTTCTAAAAGCAATTAAGATAAAGAAATTGTTCGCAGCTTAATTCATGCAAAGTTTCTTTGAAGTTCGATACTCAAGTTTTCGTCACGGCAATAGGAAAAGGAAAAAAAATTCACAAACCTTATTCTCCGTCTTTAAAAGCCAAAAGTTAATGAGAACCAGGCTTGCCTCTGGTACAGCGCTGTTATGATTTCAAGTTCAACGGCGACTTTAAATATCAACTATTCCCTGCTGACAACTTCTTGCAATCTTAGGATCCAATTATCTCTATAGAAAGTTTCTGTTTTCGATATACACAGCACGGTATGTCTCATTAGACCTGTTTAGTTATTCTCATGATTGTAAGCCAAAATAGAATGATTTATAGCGAAACCAACGAAAACAAGTCTGATCTCTCATTTTTTCTTATCCCACGAAAAATAATGGCTCATATTTTGTGTGCTTTATGGTAAAAATGTTGCATTGTTTTTAATGTCTTTGTCAAACTTTTAGATTCACCCTAAAAAGCGAAAAACAAAAACAAAAAAACCTTTTAAAAAAATTCAATATTCACAAGCAAAATCTCTCGTAATCGGATATCAGTTATTCGTTGATGCGAAATTAAATCGTGGCCGAAGAGCAAAAATTGTTTAAAACAAGGAAAGGCAAGCAAAGCTATTCAGCTAAAATGCCTCTGGTCTGATGTAAAGTTCTGTGGCAGTCAATAGCTTTTGGTTCCATGTCTGGTGTAAAAGCAAAATGAGGTAACTCGTAATTTCTGTTTTACAAATATTCTGATCTATTTGTTAACAAGACCAGCATTAATTCTATTCATTGTCTACATTCAAATGGCAAATATCGTAGATAAAAGCATTTTCCCATAATTGCAGTAGCAACAACACTTTGAATTTTAGGTCATTGATGCGACTTTCCTTCACAAAACATTCAAACTTCTGAGCATGTTCATTGAAGCGATAAGAACATAATTAATATTTAACAACATTGCATACTATCTGATTCAAACTTGCGAGCATTTAGTAGTTTATCACGTTTGTTTTTCAAGTACGAGGGTGAATTAAGTGCAAGGAAAGAAAAGAAGACTAAACTGAAAACCGCCTTGTAGAATTACATTGGTGTTGGCTCATTAGGTTTAACTAATAAATGCAATAAATAATTCCTCCCACGCAAGGTGTATGGTTCGCGATGATAATAGCTCCAGTACAAATAATTCGCTTGCAGACGGTAGTGTCTCTTTTGGGCGTCTAAACATCAAATTGAAACAGTCAAAAAACTGACGCTGACTAAGAACAGCTGTATTTTTCAGTTCAATACAAAATTGCTGTAATTCTTATTCTGCATCCGTATTTTTCCTCTTGGCCTGAAACGGAGAAGCATCCTCGTCTATTCATTTTTCTAATTTAATCTGGGAACTTCCTATTTTTCCAAATTTAGTTAGAACTACCGCTTTTGATATTTGAGATCGGAGATGGATGGAACCACATGCAGCGGATTTCATTTGTCGTTACGGTCCTCCAGCCGAGAGACCAATTACCTGCGCAAAAATATTTGTCAAAACTTGCCTCAAAAGCCGCCCTTTTACGTATTTTCTATTTAAACGGTGCTTTTCGCAGCCAGCTGTCCAAGGATTCATTATCTAGCTTTTCATCGGAGGTACTGTATCACGCAAATTTAGGAGAAGCAAAGATGATCTCACACATAGCAATCATTCTGAGATTATCACATGATAACTCTTGTTTTCATCACCCGCTGTAGGAAAATTATTTTTTTTAATAAAAAAGCGGTGTTTTCGCCGGGGAAATTAAGATGAAAGATATATAATACAACAGTTCAAAAAAATAAAGTGTCTGATGTTTCTTAGAAATGGGTATCATCTTTTGAATTATGATGTTTTATTGGAAGAGAAGAGGCCTCAGGTAATTTGCAGCGAGTGACAATCAAGCCTGATAGGAGGACTTTGTCAGCGTTCCACCAAATTTCCAGTGGTGAAGGTGTCTGGTCGGAAGGGAAGTTTATGCTCTGATTTGATATCGAAATAAATGAATGGAATGATAGATGTTTTGTGTGACGCATCATTCAGTCAGTTGGTCAGCGGTAAATGCAACGATTATCCTTAACACGGAGGTAATCATTGAGATATTTTAGGAATATAACGTCTCTTTTTTTTTTTTTAAGCTGTGAGCTGCAGAGGAAAAAGAAAAAACCTCTCACTCTGCAACAGCATTATAGAGATGAAATAGAGGTCTTCGTGAGTATTCAACCTTGAAGATTTTCATCGGCTGAGGCGAATTTGCTGTAGCCAGTGATTAATCTGGCAGAGGTTTTGCTGTTTGTCGACAAAATTAAAAAGATTTCCGATGATTGATCGCGTGAATCATCATCTCAAAAGTTGCATATTTTTAGTCTGCCTATCCGTCTAACAAACAAAATAAGATCTTTTTTTTTTTTGGAAAAAAGAAAGCTAAACAAAACAAAACGAACAGACACACAAATTAAAGAAAAAATAATAGCTCAACCATAAGAGGACAGCTGGATTTTCCCTGGCTTGCGCGTAAGGTTAGGATTTCGTAAATTCGGAGTACCCATACAAAAGTCCGGCCAAGAATAGACTATTCGGGTTACAACAGTGAGCGTTAACAATTAGCACTGAAAAGCCTTGCAAGTCCTGCTTACAATAAACGATGTTCTAAATTCCTGCTAATTGTGCGCTGATAACAAATATTCCAAACTAACATAGGAACGAATGATTACTGAAGGCGGAATTAGGTAGGCAAATTAGATCTATCTGAACACTTTTCTCATTCGTTACCTGTTTACGACCGTGATTATTTGAAGAACGCGTGATATGAGGGTCTTAATGGGGTGGGTTTTACGGCTAACCGTTAAAATTTTGTTCATTTTAAGGCTAACGCTTACAGATTCTTTTCATCATCAGTAAATTAATTCTTTTTTTCGGTTAACATTTCAGTCACGACTGGCCGTTTAAATTTGTCAGTTTTTAAGCCTAACGACTAAATTTTCTTGCCGTTCAGTACGACAAGCGCGCGCGGTTAACCCCATGAGACCCTCTTTTATCCGGTAATTTGTCGCGTCCTGTCTATTTTATTACGTTATCAACCGTGTAAATCTCTTAACGGGGCAGCTTAATGAAATCCTTGTTCTTGATAGATGAACTCAAAAAGGCATGAAGCCCACACATGAATTAGCCTTAGATGACACTCAAATGTTTTTTTTTTTTTCCATTTTCTTCCCTATGCTCTGCCAAAATTGAAAAAAAGAAAGAAAGAAAGAAAAAGTCACTCAGGTTTTTTAAGCCGAGGGCAGAAGAATTATCATTTCTTGATGGTTAGTTTAAATTTAAATCTCTTACGAATGTCTGAGACGGAACTTGGGGAAACCACAAATTCCGGAGCGGAATTTTCCCGAGGAAGCAAAGAAGAAGTTGATGATGGAAAAACATATTATTAAAACGTAAAAGGCTAAGTAGACTTAGTGCTGTTGAATAGCTTTCAGCATGATAACTCAAAGGGCATCAACGCGCTCGCAGAATTTAATTTCACTTCGGCTGAAAACTTCCAATCAGCGATTGTTTGTTTTCTATGCTACTTTTCCTATAATAACATGTTTTTTTTTTTTGTTCTGTTTGTTTTGAATACGTTACATTACATTCTATATTCATCTGGAATTGTGCATTAGACGGACGCATATGATTTGTACTTTCATGTTGTAGTCTTCTTATATCAATAAACATATCATACCTGAAGAGGGCTCTCAGTTTCTTCTAACTTGCGGCTATTTCGATTAGCCTTAAGTCGTCGAATACCGCCTTAATATTGGACTCTTTAGTTCAATGTTTGACGATTTGGAAGTCTCGGCTCTACTGTAACGAATCTATGGGTTTGTTTCGTCGCTGAGTCCCACTTGGGATCGTAATTGAGAATATAATCTCCTTTTGCGTTTTCTCAAATCCCAAACCGAAACGAACGTCGACTTCTGACAGACGACAACCTCAAATAATGGTTGATTTTCAACAGTGATACATACCGCAGTTGGGATATCTAAGAGGCTTTCCTTCTCTAATTGTTTTGAAACTAAATCAGGTAAAACGTGCACTGTCTTCAAAAATAATTTTCACTCTGGCGTCTCTGTCATTTGACAATCATAACGGGCTGAACCGCATGAAAACGAGATTAGGAAACCCTCCGGCAATGTTACCATTCTATTATTAAGAACAATACTCTCGACTAGATGTTTATCGCTCACCGCCCTTTCCTCGCTTTTCGTTTTTCCTCCAGGTGATTAGATTCTGATAAACATTTTGAACGGCGTATTTCAACCAATGTTGTTGAGAGCTTCCATCGTCAAATTTACAGTTTCAAAAGCAAAAATCTTATTTTCCTGATGTTCCGTGAGCGGTGCATTTTTTTCTGAATCATCCACCAGCTTATCTTACGCCTCACCTTGATGGGATCTAGAGCTTTTTATCCTTTTGATGGGAACACCGTTAAGATGATTTGGATGAACCACAAACAAGGTGAACAGATGGGATTTCGCTCGAAAGGTCTTGAGATCGGCCATCGAAACAAGCATATGTTGCTAAATTTCTTTTTCTTCATAAATCTTCCATGGATGTGTCATTTTGCCTCAGCCCTTACAATTTACCCCCCACTTCCCATATCCTCACGCAGTGCACTTTGATGTTCCGACAGCTTGTATACCACTGAGTACGTGAGAGGCAAAACTGAGTCATGCAGGTGTAGTATAGTTTACAAAATTAAGGAGTTTTCATCTTTATATTTTTCTTTACAAAAACAAAGCGTGCACCTTCCCCCTAAGGGTCGATTGCCTCTGCATAAACAGGTCAGTGTTCTAATCATTTATCGGGCTCAGCTTACTAATGCTTGATTTACCTTTATCTTACATTCTTTACCCCACCCTACCCTGCTTGCCAACCTTACCCACCCTACCCTCCACTGTGAGGAAAACAGACAAAGGTTTGAGATCAGAATATGTAGAACACATTGATGAACCATCACCAAATTTTAAAAACATATCACAGTTGAAAGGCATTAATATTAAATCACATTCGATAGACAAAGTGTTGAAGTAAATAATGCATGGCAACTTTTGCTCTTAGCGCAACAGTTTCTTCTCAAATATATCAACTGAATTTCAAAACAGCTTAATGTCGGAGATGATGACAAGGTCAAGGCGCTGAAGAAAATAGGTTATCAGTGCGATCTTGTTTATCTAAATAGAATTTTCTTGAATGACTCAACTTCATTTGCCCAACATGAATCAATCTACTTGGTCTAACAGAGTCAGGCAAACCTTTTGAATCATTTTTGTTTCAAACTTGTTTTGTTCCAGCTTACATCGTAAAGTCTTAAGACGAATATCTGAGAAAGAAATCCCACAGTAACCTTCAAAACGATGATAAACCTTTCCGAATTTTTCTTGTGAATGGTTTTTTTGAAGAAAGATTTAAGGACCGTTTATCAATGGGACCATTTAGTTTCGATGTTGCTAATTTAACTCATTGCGCACAGCATCCACGAAATTTTCTCGCCTGTTTTTTTTCTGTTTTGGTGCAGTTTAATTTCGGAAAGGTGTTTCATACTGCACGCGTACAATGTCCCACTAAATTGCTTCAAGAAAAAAAAAACAAAAACAAAAAAGTGAGTTACGTTTTCCCTTCAGTTACTATGGCTGATGGTGTGATGGTGTCTACCTTCAGGTAAATTGTGGCAAGCTAGATTAGACCTGTACCTTTTCTTCCGCAACAACTCTCGTTTCAAATGTTTGCTTCGCTGACACCAGGAGCCAAAAAAGTTATCGTGTCAATTTCACTTACAAACGAACACATCTTGAATGCATACACAAACTCCCCTCTTCGCAGAGTTGACAGGCGATTTATAAACAGATGTGGGGATTTTCAATGTTTAGGGCCAAGTTGTCACAAAGTCATAAATAACGCACGAATTCACACAAACTAAACACTAGGCTTCTATGCCTAATAGGCTTTGGTGTAGGTAGTGTCTTCATCTTATTGTTTTACATGCTAAGTTCTTACACTGTAAATCTGTTTCATTAGAATGCTGGAATAATGTCTCGTCGGGGTAAAGTTTTTGGTTAAATATAAAAGAACTCTTATTTAGCTTTGAATGAACTTTAATTAAAACTTGATGTTTTGCCAAAGCAAACTGTCAATAATATATCAATCAGGTTTTAAGCAGATATTGATGTACATGTACCATCGCTATTCTCTACATCCAAACTTACGGTATTATTTGTACACGATCGATGAATTGGAGCTTTGAACGCGTGTGAAAACCAGCTGGGTAAGAGCCGATCAAACTGAGTTCAATTTAAAAGTATTTCACCATTTCTTTGATATAGTTCGAATTCCTTACTTCAAACGTACACATGAAAAGCAAAACCAAGCCAACAAGAATTGAGGCTGATAGTTTCGAAAGAAACTGTTTGGGGCTGCGTCGGTGGGAGTAACGAAATAACTTGGATATATCAACAAAGTTGAAGTGGTAAATTGGCCATCGAAACGATTACAAAAGCTGACGTTTCGAGCGTTAGCCCTTCGTCGGAGCGAACAAGAATTGGTCTTTTTAGAGTTCTTATCTCATGATATGCCCTTTCCTTCTAAAAAGAATTGCGCGCAGCTTTGTGGGCAGGAAAGAAATCACCATCATTTCAAAAACAATAATAAATAATAATTTGGCCGTTACATTGCCTTAAAAAAAAATTTAAAAAAATTTACGTTTTTTGTTGTTGCTGCCACATCTTTCCAACCTTACTTGAACTCAAATTTGTCAAATGTTTCGTACTCAAGTGAACTGTAATGTAATTTACCAATTTTTGAAATAATCTTCTTAAGCCACAACTTGACTTGCGCTGAACCGGAACATCACCGAAGTCTTCTCCATTTCACAAATCGCCTTTGTATAATTTTCTTAGAAGATGAAAAGATAGCCTGGCGTTCGAGACATTGCAGAACCTGTAACCGTTGCGACGTACTATTATACTCCTATGATAACTAACCAGTGTTGCGTTCTGCGAAAAGCTCACTTGTATCTTTCTATGATTTTTTTAAAAGTGATATGGGATTTAGAGAAAGTTGTTCGTACCTCAGTTGTGCTCTCCAGCTTTTGAGTTCATCCTCACTCTCCTTCACGAATCTTCTTCACGGATGTACTTCGTTTGCCCAGATCCGACCTTTCAAAGAAAACGCAAAAGCTAAATAAATATTTAGAAACTATTTCTACAACTCTCGAGTAGAGACAAATTAAATGCTAGCCCACATACTAACTAGCTTTACCCAATTCCTTTTTTTATGACACTTTCAAAACACCAATTTTATCATAAAACAGCAGGTGACTGGAACAGCCTTTTGTAAATACCCCTGATATTAATCTTGCAAAAAGCTATTTGCATTGTTCATTTGAATACTTTGTCAAATCCATTAAGGCATCTTTAGAGCCCGAGGGGCCGTTTTGAGTTTCCAAGTCAGATCCATGCAACTTATGTGTACGAATTTTCTAAGTAGAGGGAAAAATACTTATGTCTGACACGTTTGACACCTTGTGGTCATGTATGCGTTCACTTTTTTGCCAGATAAGTGTGAAATTCAGATGGAATGGCGTCATTCTCGAAATAAATTGCCGAACCTGGCCTCTGCCTAACTAAAGGTTTTTTTGGTTTCGAACCAATTGTGTGAAAAGGCCGTTGCCGATTCAAGAATCAACTCACGATTCTTTCATTAAACGGGAAATCGGTTATGGCCTTACTGTGATGATTATCTCGGTATCAAAATACGGTTCACATTTTCGCCACCATCAAACACCCGTTAATGCCTGAAATGATAGGCGGTGATAGCTTGGCAAAAGTTTCCAGGGAGCCATATCCACTTTCACATTAAGATTCTAAACTGAATTCAATTTGTGCGAGATTGTATTCACTCCAACGAGAAAGGGCCTGAAAAAGCAATCGGTTGTCTTTCATTCAAAGAATGAGACCATGAAATAGGGACGGCTTTTTTTTTTTTTTTTTTTTTTCACTTGCTCAAGAATTTAGTTTTCTGCAGGGATAAACAATATCAATTGCGTCCTGTTAGACCGAAGGCAAGAGGTCGCGTGCATTTCGGGAGCATCTAGAACACAATTCTTTCAATTCGTCAATTAATCGAGATGGAGGAATGGGTAATGCCCAAAAACCACACACTTTCCTTCAAACTGCACCGACCAAATCCCTAAAAAAAAACGAAAGCTTGGGTTAATAACGCTAGCTTATATTAACTTGCTTCGTAGCGTGCGCCGGTCCTCTTTACGCTTCATCATCAGGCCTAAGTTTGCTCGCGAGTATTTAATTTTTAGAGGTAGGTTTTATGCTAGCTTCATTACGAGCGACAGCTACTTGAATTAGATGGCATATCAACCATATGCCCTCGAAGTAATGATGTACGCATCTAAAGTCATTCTCTTGAAAACTTATGTTTGTATTATCAGAAAACAGAGACGTCAGAAAGGTGCTGTACTCTAACACTCCACCATGTTTTGGGTTCGGAAAGATCCGCAAACCCTTGTATTGACTGAGCGGATCATTTTACTTACAAGTGTAAACGTTTTCGCCGTCGGATCGTGCAAAGATCAGCAATATATGATTTAGCTGTTTTCCTGGGAAACCTTGCAACAAAAGCCCCTAGGAACTTTGCAATGAAAGATCTATTGTTTGTTTATGATAGCTGAAAGTGTGTGACGTAATACGTTTTCACGTGGCGCTTAACTTCGAAATTCAAGCATCAAAATAGTTTGTTTTTATCTTGATGATTCTGTACTTCACGCAACGCATTTAGGTCTTTTATAATTCACATCGTTGGGGTTATAGTTTTGTTTGAAACTTCAACCGTGAGGTACACGATCGGCGAAGAACAACTGTAAAGAATTAAAAATACATAATCAATAAGGAAGGCGTGTGGTTGTTGGTTAGAATCTTGAAATTTTCGTATGAATATTATGGCCATCTCTGTTGATTCATAGTCCATAGATCTTTAGCCCTTTAACTCTAGTGACTGATCAAGACATCATTTCTCCTTACAATATCTAAACAATATCAAGGAAACAAATGATTGGACCTTACATAGCTGTAAAATTCTGGCCTCCAGCTGTCCATAGCTTTATTGGTGAAACAAACGATCGTTGATTGACCATTCAGACCGCGAATGGTTCCTTAGTTATGTACAATGTTTGATGTATGATTGAGTGCATGAAGCTGGTGGTTTCAAAACTTATTTCCCAGGATGAACCTATGGATTTGTTTATTTTGAATCTGGGAGCTGAATAAGGATGATGATTGCGTATTAATTTCGTGAATTAACAAGCCATAATGTCCAGCCAAATTTGTGGCAGTCATTCCTCCTAATCGTGATACATTAAGCGACGTCCTTCGAAAATGTAACTCTTAAACCTGTCCAGTGATAAACCTACTCCAATTTACGTTTTTTTTTTTTTCTGTGACGTCCAAGAGAAAAAAAAGGTACTCTGCTCTGAGCCATTAGTGTGGTTAGTTTGACCGCGGAGTGACCTGTAAGTTTCATTACTCAAAATTTTTATGTTTTATACATCAGTATGATAAGGTAAAGAACAATTTACAACCCTCCCTTTGGAGATAAAATATTAAAAGCAATAATACTTGACTGTAACCAAAAAACATGAGAGAAGTTACGTTTCAGCTTAGCTATGGCTTTGCCAATGGAAAAAGCTGACGTCAAGAATTAAAAAAAAAGTTAAATGAGAAACAACAAAGAAATTACCGGCAACCAAGTCTTTTTTGGCGCATTATAAGATTACCAAAGAGATGTTTAATTTCATCAGTGTCGAGAGGACACGAGTATATGGGCATGCCTGCCTAAATTTTTGCAGGCATAAATTAAACGACTCAAAACAAGTACCAAATTTCCCCCCTGTACCTCCGCCGAAAAAAAAAAAAAAAAATGAGAGATATTTTTTTCTTTAATTCGTCGTCTCGTAACTCTAGAAGCGTTGTTTAGCATCTTAAAAACATCTGCAAAGTTAACTTTGACGGGTCACATAAAATACCGCTTTGAAATAGACCACCTGCAGTTCTGGTTATATGTGGTTTTAAAACTACCTCTAAAGAAAAGATAAGAAAGGCGATCATTTCCTGACATTAAAGTAAAATGAAAGACCCCATACCGCACTTAACGTATCATAAAAAAATCTCATTTGGTTTTAAAGTACAGCGAGCAGGTGTCGTTACAAAACATGTTTCGTAGTTTAGATCATAGGACTCTTTGTTGATGAGGAAGTGTTAATCAAAAGTTTGATAAAATTTGTCCCTGTATTCCGGCAGACAATGGCCGATTTCTTTTTCATCATAAGAAATATTTTCGCTTTTTTCCGATATCTCACACGACTCCATTTTATTAATGTTTTTTTTGTTTTTTCAATGCAAGAAACGGATCAATAGTTTTCTAGAAAGTTCGCCATTGACTGAGTGAATTTAAAGAAAGGCGAGAATAACAATTTAATTAACGACATAGATATATTACGAGACTTTGGTTCTATGGGAAATAAATCTTGTGGTTACTTTCTTGTCGAAAATACCACAGAATTATTTCCAATAAACTGAAAGATTGATGACAAATTATATAGCTTTGCTTTGAGTCAGAAACTACGCTCACCAAGCAATGCGGATCACCGTGAGATCTTCATACGAAAACAAATATTTTCGTTGGGAAAGATAAAACGAAAAACGATATAATGTCTATATGTTATTGGCAATGGGCGATGGAAAAAAGCTAGAATTTGAACGAATTACAACTGAACTGATTCAACTTCCTCGCTGAGGACAAAAAATCAAAGACACACCTTGAATACTCTCCACAACCGCTTAGATTGATCAGTGAGACAAAGAAAAATAATTGAACAGTTAAGGTACTTCTGCAGCGGTGGACCTTTAAATGATAGTGAAGCCTTCTAAAGACCACATCGCTAATTTAGAACTGTACAAAAAACTTAAGTTAAGACACCATAGTAATAACATCAGAAGAAGATGAAACAAACAAAAACAAATCTGAATATTCTGGCTTGTCTGAATTGAACAAAACTTGAGATACCTTTCTTGTGGCAGGCAAGATTTCTTAGCTTATGGAGGATTTTAAAGTTGCCATTTTCAGAACATACGCAACAACTGTTTTAGTTGCGTGTGGCGGCGGTATAAAAACTTACAACAAAGCATTTCGGGGATTTTTTCAATCTTTCAGCCATGGGGGTTGTCGTAATTTAATTGGCTATCAATCGAGTTCAACCAATTTGAGGAAGGACCATTCATAAAAAGTTTACCGTAAAGTGCCTCAACTTACGACTCCGTAGGTTTAAAAATTTGCATTTCGCATGCTGCCTGTCTTTCGCATAGGCGCCATAATGGCAAGCGGTTTTCCTGTCGTCACGGATCTTAAGAAACAATCAGCTAAGGCGAAAGAAAAAAAAGAGTTATAACTACGGAGCAGAAATATGTTAAGGTGAGATCTCTTTGCACAACAGCCTATTACGTAATTTGTAAAATGTACAGTACCGCGAAAATTTCTGATATTCAAGCTCCTAATGAAAATTTTACACTTTCTTAACCTATCAGTCCTTTTCGGTATAAATTAGACAGACATAAAGAATGACGTAACTTGTTGAAATTATATCTTAACTCTTAGTAATAATCTTAAAAGCTTTTTACCTATGTTTCTAAAAGTGCCGCCAACTTAAGCGAGCAAGGTCAAGTGACGGCATCATTTCTGATAGTCAGTCTCTGTTTTGCCCTAGTCTGTATCGGTTACTTAAAGATACATACACTCATTTATTGTTTTATTGTTGCTCCCTGAAAAGAGCTTTATAACACCAAATAAATAAAAAACTAATAAACAAATAACTAACTCTTGAAATAGTCTGAAATGAAAAATAACCTTCAGAGTTCCACATGGTGTCAGGAGTAATGAGCGGTATTCCTGCGCGAATTTGATAAAAAAAAATAAAAAAATAAATAAATAAATAAATAAAAGCGTATCAAACATCGCACAAAGCTTTGTCATTTCAAACTGACAGGTCGTTATGATAGCCAAAGGAAAGTGGAATACCTTGTTTACTTAACTTTTGATTAGTATCGGGATAAAACAGGCTATGAGAAGGAGGTAAATGGTTGCTTCATCGTTAGGAAACCCTTAGACTTACATTTGTAATACCAAAGACATCCCTTCGTATCGAAAGTTTCACCAGGCTTCTAATCGTAGACACGCCTGGAGGTAATTTACTTTTGTCGCAAGACTCTATCATAAGATATGACGTACTGTATCCTTTTTCCCAGGCTGTAAAATGCCCAAATGTCTCCAGCAAGAGTCTATTACATGATTTCTTATAATATTTAGCCATATCTGAAGTGTTCTATTCCAAGTTCTTTGATAGTGGGAAAGAGTTCCTTGACCGTTCAGTCAGTTTTCTCAAATATATATTTTTCCATCGGTTACTGTCTGGTTTTTATTGCTTCGAGCGATATTCAAGAACTTAAAGATGTTTTTCCGCCGGTGTGACGATGGCGTGAAAGTTAGCTTGATTGATTTGAAATGCTTACTAGAAAATGATGCGATGTGGGCTTCATCATTTTGAACGTACGTGCCAAAACATTGATCACCCTAACACCATGTAATACTCTGAGGGTTTGTTTTTCATTTTTTGAATTTTTCATTAAAATAAGATATTGAAATTCAATTTAATTGAACCCCAGGAGTCCAAAAAAAAAAAAAAAAAGGAAAAGAGACTTCTTTTATACTTGTGTAAAAAAGAAAAAACAAAAGGAAAAAAAGTGCTCTCCACCCTGAACTAGTTGAAAGGTTTCAAGACATTGGTTTCAACAATTTTGATGAAAAAATCATCGAAGATACAAACAACTCAGTATTTTGAAGTTATATGACCATGAGTAAGCCGGCTCTCATCGAATTTTATCCGAGTTTCACCTGGAGCCGAAATTCACAAATCCTCCGGTCAGAACCGCTTAGAAACAAAAAAGTGTAGAGACTTCTGATGTACGATAATAAACGCATGCTTTGCCTCCGATGCAATTTTTGAAATACTGTTAACCAACCCTATTCAAAAGTTTGCAATGGTGTCTTTTTATTCTTTTCTCGGTTTTTTTTTCTTTTTTTTTTTTTTTGATAAAGCATTTTCCGAGATGATATTTTCACAGTGCTAGATCTATTTGTAAACCTGTTAATTACCCCGGATCACGCAGCGTCTTTGCATCAATTTCAGGATACCTCCCTGTTAGCCGACTTTCACAGTTTGAGTTTAAATTTATTTCATATCATCCTTTTCGTAAAACGTAAATGTACCTTCATGAATAATTTTGTTTACGAAAGGCAGACGACCCGCATCAATTTTACATCTTAGATGGTTTCAGTTTTATTTCTGTAAGGAAGATAAATAGCCACTTTTTTGTTGTTTTTTTTTGGGGGGGTTTTTTTTTTTTTTTCGAGGTGGTATTTAGTAATTAATTTTCGTTAATGACTGGCGAACAACCAGCTTAATGTGACATAAACAACGGCGATGCATTAACAGGGAAAAAAATGAACCCACGCCAGCTTTTGTTGAAAAAGTGATCAGAGCTAAGTTCTATTTCTGATATTGTTCGCACAATGATCAAGTTCGCGTGACTTGAATAATGAATATCTGACATTGAGGTGACATCACGAATCGTGTGTGCGAGAGTTATGTGATATGTTAAACACTTTTACCGATATTTATTGAGGTCATGACTTGTTTCCATGTGAATTCGCAATAAAATCAAATTAATCTATGGCCTTGAAGTTGCTACGAGCGATCTGTAGTTTTTTGTCTCTGAAAAACGCAATTTTTCCTAACAGGCACTACCCAGCTTAGTCAAAAGCTCAAGCCTTAGTAGAAATGAATAATTTCAATTTATAACTTAATTGTAAATCGTTATATGTCTGTAGTGTTGCCCGACAGAATAATACACAAAGACTAAGTGGAATGGTCAGCCATCGCGGAACATAAAAAAAAGTGAATCGATTGAGTTGTTTACAAAACACCTGCTGGAGAACAAAGAAAGAAAGAATAACCAGACAAATGTTTCTTAGAAAAAAACTCATCTATATGAGAGAAAAAAAAAATTGACGTCATAAAAGTACTCCTGTTGAATAGCAAGTATCAAGAGATGTTTTATACAGTCGTTTTTTTAAACGTATGAAGTTTGAAAAGGAAGCTCGGGAATCTCTAACTTTTTCCTACCCACGCTGAAAGTATAATTGTTTACCATCCTTTCTTTTTTCGCACAAGGTTAATATTTAATTTTTACTTTAGTTAAAATTCGTCTTTCTTTAGCTCCCAACTGTATTTGACACTTAGTCATCACAACTGGCGAAGAATGTTTGAGACGCTCCAACTGTTACTGAAAAATGAACGGTAAAACCAGTAACGTCGGGATGGTAGTTAAATACAAAGCCCAGGGGGTCCTCCCTTATAAGAGCTTAATGGGGACTTGTGGCCAGCCAGGGTATGTTTTTCGAGATTTTTGTCTTAAACAGGGTATCGAATTTATCATTTTTTGTCTTAATCAGGGTATCGATTTATCAATTTTTGACTTAAACAGGATATCTTTTCTTGGGAGATAAACAGGAAAATTTTTACAAGCTCTAATTTTAATTAATATTGAATTCCGTTGATTTTGGCATTGATACCAGGCACATAAAATGTCTTAAACAGGGTATCAAAAATCGGAATTCTGTCTTGAACAGGGTAGGAAAATCAGCGATATTTTGTCTTAAACAGGGTCAGGGTATGAGGGGCCGCGCCGCACCTCCCCACCCAGGAATAAATCGAGTACCCTCCCCTCCCCGGGATACAAGGCACTGACAGATGGTGATGAATTAAAATGATCGATCGAATATCTCTTTCTGACCTCAGGGACTGAATGAGATGATCAAAATGGAATAAAAATGAAACTTCACGCTACAAAGCACTTTCTTTAATATCATCAAAATGAATTATAAACCATTATGGTCTTCAACTTACCTTCAATCGCGATGAATCTTCAGTATACAATAAAATATCACGCATCGATATATCATTGGTCAAATATGTCCATAGCTGTGAGCAAAATTTTATCGCTTGCTTTTTTTACTCAATACAGCAAAATGGCCGGTGTATCTTCTACAATACAAACTCAACATAAGAATTTTTTACAAATAATCACCAACTTAAGTGCGTGCGGTGTGTTACTGAATGGCTGGCCAAACAGGAACTATATCGCTGTAAACTACAGCCAATGCATTAGACAAAGTAAACGCCATTACGATTGTTTATGGCCTCGAACCTACTTCATGCAGCAAAAAATATGTACACAAATTACTACGAAAATTCCTTCCAGGCCTACTAATTTTTCCTTTTACTTGCGTAGAAGTAAGATTTTACTAAAAGTTAAGGCTATACAAGAACTGTAATGTAACTTGATTTTGAGGATGACAAAACTACCTTAAAATACGTCCTTTCTGTAATCACCTCTAAATTTATCTATCAGACTCCACTCTTTGGATTGGAGTCGCTGATAGAGATTTTAGTCGACCTAAACATAGCTAATAGAGGGGTCCCCTCTATTAACTATGACCTAAATTTTCAAATGGAGTTATTTCAAAGATGGCAAGGTGGATTTATCAAGGTATTGAGTTGGATACAAACGATTTACTTTGAAGTTTCGTTGTTCATTGACAAATCATAACTATCATCTACATATGTAAATGTATGTGACTTTTAAATTTTTTAGTGTCCCCCATTAGCTTATTGCTAAAAACATAGACACTTAAATAAAGTTTTTCATTCATTCATTCATCATGGCTGACAGAGGAATTCAAATGGCTTGTTTGAAGAAGGAAAAAGCCGCCTTAAACTTTTGTTTCGTCCGCCAAAATGACAATTTTTCCGCCTCGATTCACACCTTTCCTTGCTGACCACCCTTGGTCGTTTCTATGTGGAAATCGTACCAGCGAATGAATATGCCTCTGGGAATTTAATCAGTCGTGCTACATATTGTACCAAACATGCTTTACATGAAATACTCACGAATTGCTTCTCTTAATGCCTGACTCTTGTTTGAAATCAATCTCTCGCAGTTCTGATTTGGTTAAGAAGATTACGATCCAAAACGGTTTAGCCTTTTATCGTCTTCGCCCGCAGAGATTAGTGTACATGTTACACACAATTTATAATTTATTCTCCCTTCTAGGTCTTTCAGCTCGCCGAACATGAATTATTTAATTAATTTTACAATTGATGTAATTGGTGTTCTTGAAATATATACTTCATTAGCCTAGCGTGTGTCAGACCAACTCTGAATTACATTTTGTAGCCAATGAAAAGCCTTCTTTAAGTAAATAATTGCTTATTCATGGCAGGAGCTCACATTTTGCACAAATAAAACAGAAATTGTAACTCGGTTCATTGAAAAACTGAAAATTTAATTTCCTTTAGGTATAAATTGCGTTGGAAAGAACCGAAACATCCCGCTTGCCAGTCTAAAGAAAACCATTTTTATAGTATCTTCATTCTAACGATATTGCATCTAGATTTCAGTCGCTTGTAACGGGTCGGGACACGATTTTATCTTTCAGTCCATTCTGCTCGTTATCTATTTATTTGAATGATACCCAGGTAGATTCCCCGCTTTGATAACTTTATCCGCAAATACAAAATCTTCCTCATGTCGATTAATTTGCGGAAATTACGGGACGTGGCTCAGCATGGGAGGTGGATAAGGAAAGCGAATGGTTATCGAGTCTTTCAAATCTCGCAATAAACTGAGATCCCTGCGAAAGCTGCTCTCAAAAATTAAAGTGAAAAAACTCAGGAACTTGTCAACTGTGATTTATTGTACATGACAGATAACATCTTAGGTGGCTTACATATCAAGCTGGTGAAGATATGGTTAAGAATTCATCTTCGCAAATATCAATTTCATTTTTGAACCATGTTAGATATCAGATTCGTGTACCTTAGAATCATTGTTATTTCTGAAACATTAAAAGTAACATGAGACAAAAATCTACTTGCAAAATTGTTTTATTCAAAATTAAACCTTACCACGGAAGTTACTTGGCTGTTGGTGGAAGACAAGATCAAGTACGTGCTTCATGGAACAATTGAAAGTGAAGGCAATTTCGATTAATTTCGAGCATGAACGTTTTTCATGTCAAAATGTTTGCACTTCTCTTGTCTAGGCCAGTATCTTTGTGGATTTTGAACAACTCAGGAAGCTCTTTGATTTCTCAAAGTTTCAAATGAAACAAATGCACAAAATGAAAGCGTTTTAGCGAAATAGCAACGATTTCAATGTTTTGATTTGATGATGCAGGAAACTGAAAGGCTGCCAACGACTAAGGCTCCTTCCTTTCCCCCTCCCCCTCAAAAAAACGTCTCTTGAAAAACTCCTTCAAACTCTATATCCAGTAGCTTCCTCGTATTAAAGGAGAAATTCTTAGATATAAGAATGTTAGACAGGATAAATCTTGAGTTTTGCTAATGATACGAAGCTCAGATGGAAATACATCCAAAAAGACATACATGACGACTTCAGGCTCATATGAGTTCGATTTTTTTTTTATGTTTTCGCAAGTGTTACATAGCTTTTTCTTGGTGTGTTCCGCACTTGTTCGCCGATTCATATCTTTAATTGATCTTTATTCATTGTTGCTTTTTTTTCAGCTTGGCTTTGTGTGTAGTCACTTAATCTTGCGGAAAACCAGTACTAATTATCACTAGTCTGTCAAAAACGTGCCGACGCCAATGATTTAAGAAAGGCTTAGAAGCGACACGCACATGTCTACCTGTTTTGAAGGCGAGAGATGATCATCATGCAACCTTTCTTCGAAATAAAAATTTGTTACCTAGTTGAAAGGTAATGAGAATACGCATTCTTATCATTCAGTGGCCGGTTCTGATCTCCCTAAAAGTCAAAATTCAGCCAGATGGGAGAAGTCAAAACCAATCAGATTCTTGGGCCGGGGTAACAAATGGTTTAGCACGAGGTAGTTTAGTCTCCCAGGCTACGCTCGTTATTTCATGACGCGAATCAAGAAAACTCGATCTGGTACACGAGATCGAAGTAACTGTGGCTACAGGTGTACATGTAAATGCCGATGAGGATGATTGCTGTCAACAAGAAACTTCCGTTGAAACGGGGAGTGAGCCAAATGAAACAAGTTTTTCAGGTTTTCGTGGTAATTTTCTAATTCTGATTGTTCCTATTTTAACCACTTGGCAATCTGCTTACAGAGCTTCTATTGATTTTCACTTTGATCACCCCACACGCAGGGGGAAAAAGAATAGCGGGGGATTTGAAGAGCGCACGCTGCTCAAGAGACTGTAACTAACGCCCACGCATCATGCTCCTCGTATCTTCTGTTTGGTCGATCAGAGAAGGAGAACCAAAACAAGAAAAATGGTTATGAACAAACCATCGGACTGCTGCATACTGTTTTGGTAGGCTTTGCTCATCGGTAAAAAAAAAACAACCCAAGTTTAAAGCAATAAATCTTATTTATTTACGTGACATCAACTCGTCATAATTCAACTGTAATATTGTTCTGAAACTTAGAGTGCTGTACCAAATAGTTACTGGAATAATGCTGGACAAAAAATGCTTATGCCTGCTAAATAACTCTAATAGCTTCATCTCGGAATCAAATTTAAATGTTAACACATGTGACTCTCGTTCACCCAATTAACTCTAATGCCATATCTATATCCTGAGCAGTTCTGATAACTGATAAGTTTCAGTTAAAGTCCTCCAAACTCTTCCCAATTTTCAGTAAATATCTTCCCCTCAATGGTTTCCATAATATACCGAAACAATTTTAGAGTTGATATTCTTTAGGGATCGTTTCCTATACTTTTCAAGAATCCTCCTTGTAATGCGCTGATGTTGAAAGGACAAATTTAGGGATGACCACTCTGGGGGCTTTAAAGGCTAGGGAGGGTTTGGGTTTCCAGTATTTAATTAGTTATATAGCTTTTGGAAATGTTGGCCCGCCTGGAGAATTCAAGATCTTCGGAGAACATTTCAGCTGCGTTTCGAGATCTAGCAAGCCAGCGATCATATGTGAGACTTGTGTTCCTCGCTGGCAAATCTCTGGATATGAATCGGAAAGGAATAGCCTCAAAGTTAAAGCCCAGCAGCTTATCGTACTCTTTGCGTAGCTGACTCTTGCGGATTATTTTCTTGGGTTCAAGTTCCTTCTTAAGAAGCTTCCTCGCATGTCTCCTTTCTTTCTTCTTCACTCCAAGACGTCGTAACTGTCTTGTAGTTGCTGGTGGGAAGTATTGTCGAGGAATATTACGGACTTCACGTGTACTGAGTTTCTCGAGGCGCCGAGTAATCTCTTTGTAAAGCGGATGAGCTGGATCTTGATACATTACACAAATGTAATCATCATATCTGTCTACATTAGGATGTGGCAGGTTAAATGTATCTATGTAATCGCTCGGGTGGAAATCGTTTCCCTCCATTTGCACGTGTCTGGGAACAGTTGTAAAGTACGCCTCCATGTGATCATTGCTCTTTGCCTGCCAGTCCGCCCAAATCTTATCGATGTGTGCATGATGTAAGAAGAACTCCGGCGCGTTTGCAGAGTTGTGAGCGCACATTGTTCCTCCAATTCGGCAGTGGAAGGCATCATGGAGATTGGCACGCACGTCAAGCTCAAACTCAGTGAACTCGCGGGGACTGTGTGCTTTTGTCAGATGAAGGGCAATTATATCTGGGGCTCGACCTGTCAGGTGAGAGTTAAAGAAAATAACTACCTGTTATTGAGTCTTAGACATACCATTCCTATCTTTACCTTTGAGCGAGAAGTTCAAACCGACAGAATGTCGCAAACTGTCAACTCGAGACTAAACGTAAGACGTGGCTTTTAGGGTCACCTTTAATTTACATTTAGCCTTGGTTTGGACAAACGATTGAAATTTTGTTTAGATTTTGGGTTGGAGGCTTAGATGATTAGAAGTCGTGTGCTCGGCGATAGAAGGCAGGATTCAAAGGGATTACAGTCGCCATGTAAACTGTACCTGAGAACCTTCTTCGGAGGCATCCTCTTCTAGCCGAGGGTGTCAAACGCCATTTACGCTGACCAAAACGCCCGGATTTAACGCATCCAGCTCTTCTAGATTTTTTCCTCTGACCATTCCCTCCCAGTCCCCAAGGCTTGTTGGACCAGATGTCGTCTATGCCTGTCCGCCAAACACCACTAGCGAACAAACTCCAGTCCCAGTAAGGAAGAGTCACTCGGCAATCTACCTTGCGTAGAAAATTTTCGTAGCGAAGAAGAAACCTGATAAAGAAAATACAATCTAATATTGCTGCAAATTGAGAGAGAAGAACGGACGGCGGTTGATGCATGCTCGGAAAGAAGAACGGATGAAAATAACAGAGGATAAAGGATGGAGGATGTTAAATGGAGATTGGAGGATGAGATTGGAGGTTTGAGGATGACGGATTGAGTATGAAGGCTGGGAGATAAAGAAAGAAGGACGGAGGATGAAGAATGGAGAATAGAGGATATCTAAGTGAGCTTGGGCTATGAAGATGGGAAGGTCGATGGAGGATGAAATTAAGAAGAATGTGGATTAAAGGAATGAATGATAAAGGATGAAGGTAGGAGGATAGCGTTTGGTGAAAGATGAATGTTGGAAGTTGGAGGATGGAGGTTACGAGGATAGAGGATGCAAGGTGGAAGGAGGATAAGGGCCTCAGGAAGGAGGACTCTACCGGGCATGAACGACGGAGTACGGAGGGTTGAGCATAGTGCATTTGGAAGACTGAAGCCTGATGATAAGGACGATATTTGTGATGATGATCTTAGCTCCAGTCCTGACTGTGTCCTCGCGTCGCGTTCTTAAGCAAGACACCTGCCTGTCACAGTGACCCTTTTCACTCAGGGCCCATTTGTTCAAAGGGCGGATAACGCCATCCAACAGATAAATCTCTACTCAGCGAATAGCTGTTAACAAAACATACCATACTATCCAACAGGGTTCAGTTGTATAAAGGGTGGATAACGCTATATTTAACGGAAAAATTGCTAACCAGCAAGTAAGTGATAGCAAAATGTATAACGTTATCCACCGGATAGAGATTAATCCAGGGGCTAGCGTTATGCGTTATGTTTTATCCACCCTTCGAACAAGCGGGGCCAGGGGTACAAATAGGTGGTGGCAATTGGCATGAACTTTCATGGAAACTTGATAAAATACGGTCGAAGAACCTCGCAAGGGCATAGCATCCTAGTCAGAAGGCTTGAATACGTTGCCAGTCGCTATATGCTATAGTAACCAGGCTATAGTCTGGTAGGTATTGGTTATTTGACCTCAAAGAATGACCTTAGTGCCTGTATAATAATTAATATGTGCCAGATTGAGTTCACGGGAAAGGGAGCCTTGTGACTTACCAACGGTGCCACGGTAAAAATTGTTGTTTGTCGTGAATCCCTGTATCAAACAGTCTCGAATGCATAGCGATAATGCGATTATATTGTCTCCTGTATCTTCTATGGGTGGAAGCTTTAATAACTGTGTTCACATAGCGAAGTCTTTCTTCCCGAGTCATAGAAGGGAAATCTTTTCTTTGTCGACAACAGTAGCGCAGCCTCTCGTTTATACAAATGCATCGCTGCCCACATGGGCCTTCGACTGCTTGGCCTTCTTGATAGGTCCTGCACGAATAGTCATGTCGCCCTTGAGATGACACCGCTGAAATAGAAATAGGATATTATTTCAAATAGGCTGATAGTCAAGCTGTTACTGACAACCCCCCACCCCCCCTCCAAAAAAAGGAAATAACCACAAAAAAAATTTCAGTGTTAAAGAAAATGTGAGATCTCATGTTAGAGTATGGAGAACCTCTGGTAGCAGCCGCCTTGGATATGAAAGGTTGAAAACGAATACGAATCTGGCATATTCAAGAAGTTATTAATTATTTTTGAAACTTACAGAATTATATAGCTTTTGACCTTAAGTAAAAGTAAATTCGTCAGAGCTGAAACTGTACGGATCGTTTTCAGTAAACTGAGTTGCATGGCTGGAATCATGAGACTACTGTTATGATCTCTTGTTGGAGTACATTTCTTACAGTTGTACTAGAGTGTTTGACTGAAACTGCTTTCATTTTCCTCGTAGGTATATCGATATCACTATCTTAAAAAAATTGTCGCTCGTCTGCAATTTTCAAGGAAAGAGAAAGTAGTGTCTGAATCGTTGCGAAGCACAATAAATATAGATGAATAAAGCCTGATAGTTTCGAAAGAAACTGTTTGGGGCTGCGTCGGTGGGAGTAACGAAATAATTTGGATATATCAACAAAGTTGAAATGGTAAATTGGCGACCGTAACGATTACAAAAGCTGACGTTTC